TGTGTGTGTGTGTGTGTGTGTATGTGTGTGTGTGTGTATATGTGTGTGTGTGTGCGTGTGTGTGTGTGTGCCTTTGTGCATGTGCGTGTGTGTGTGTGCGCGCGCGTGCGTGTTTACGTGTGCATGAGTGCATTTGTAAGCATTTGTGTTTTTATGTGTATCTGTTAGTGTATAGTTTGTATTTTATGTGTATGTGTATGTGTACAAGTGTGTGTGTTTGTGAGAGAAAGTGGGCGTGTGTGTATGTTTGTAGGTATGTGTGTGTGACTGTGTGTGTCTCTCTGTATGATTGTATGTATGTATCTATGTATGTATGTACATGTCTGAGGGACACTAGTATTACCTTCACACACTAGATCCGATCCCGTCCAGTTGCCTTGTGCATCACAGGTCCTGACGACATCCCCAGAAACCCCATGGAATCCTGGGAGGCATCCATAGGTACACTGGCTGTTCCATTCGAGGGAGAAGCAGCTGCACCGAGGCGGGAGGGTGTGTTCTAGTGCTGGAGGATCCTCACAGTCACGCTGGAATGTGTCTGTGTGAAGAACAAAAACACAATCTTCTAGCTGTTGTACTCTTTGTTACTCCTGTTTACATGAGCTACTTAAATTCAATGTACAATAAACTTCAAAAAGACTTCAAATTAAAAATACTGTTCGCCATTGTTGCCTCAGTGGAAGTCAGAGTGTAACTGAAATCGAAGAAGTCTACAAAATCTGCTTTGTAGTTCAAGATCAAGATTTAGGTCTTGGTATCCAAAATAGGTATGCAGAAGTTTACAACGGCATATTAACAATCCTGTTACCATACCTGTTTCACAGATCACGCCATGGCTACGAGAACAATATACATCGTTCCACTTATTTGGGCCGTTAGAGTTCACGGCATTTGTGAGAGCACAGCCTGCGTCACCGCGGTTGGGTTGCCCGGGTCCCCAGTCGTTGAAACTTCTCAGTGGTTCTCCATCCTCCCAAACGAAGTTTCCATCTCCTTCCACATCTTTCAGTCCGATCCACGTATGCAGGTCGCGGTTGAGACAGTTCCGCAGTTCGACAAGGAAGTTGTTGGTCGTCTGGTCTTTGGGGAGAGCCAGGCGGGAGTAGTGACATGCGCAGATACCTTTTGCTCCTTCGTATGTCACCTGTGTGTCGAATACTCGGTAGCATTTGGACCCGTGGCTGTACCATTCGGGGCCGCACCTAGTTTCGGCTGCTGTGTCTGGAAGTGTACACGTACGCGGGAGGGGGGGGGGGTACGTTAGTTGAATAAATGAACAGATCAGAAGTCTAGCTATTATAAAACTCGTCATATGTATTTTACTTACGGCTTCAATAAAACGTATTCAACGTTTTATGATATTGGCAATGTTTGATACATGGCAAGGAAAGCAAAAAATATGTGGATAAGAAAGGTGTCCAAATAGCAATACAAAGAACAATCATTAAGATATAAATTCATTTGCATTAGTTTAAAACCATTATCGTTATATATATTTAAATGATGAAGGCAAGGCCACAACGTTTAATTAGAATATGTGACATTAATTGAAATATTCAACTTTAACAGCAGTCGCTAACCTTGACAGCGGTATGTCACTTCTAAATACTTGGGGACCCCGCTACAAGGGTCACCGCCGAAGACCTGGTTACTTGCTGTAAAGCAGCACAGCTGTAAACCCTCACAGCGCTGTTTCATGATGGACAGGCTCAGGGCTGCTCGACAGTCTGCTGTCTGATGAGTGCTGCAGGTGTGGTCAGCGGACGTTCGACCGTAGTTGGCATCATCGATTAGGAGGGTCTGTCCCACTGAGCAGGACAGCTGCAAGGTTAGCCCCCCGCAGGCATGGTCCTGTATAGCTAGTGCAACGAGATGCATCATCGTTTTATAAACAAAGAGAAAAACAATTCTGTGTAACTACAACGACATTTACTTCTCTCTTGTAGGTGCCGCTCTAAGATAATGTTTTGGCTTGATATAACAGCATATGTTAGGCCAGAAATACGATTGTAGTGGCACTTAAGCCGCAAACGGTGAAGGAAAATTTAAATGATGTATTACGATATTAGTGTGTAGTATGTGTTGAATATTTTGCATAAAAATTTTGTTAATCACCATGCGTAAGGTTTGCAAAAGCATGACGTTTTGTCGAGATGTTCATATTATGTATAGATGACTTTGCGTAAAACGAGACTGCAAAAATAAGGGATTCCGATTAAAAAACGTAGCACTAGATCATTGTTGTCCTTACTCACCTTGTTGTGCAGCGGTGCCAAAAACGCAGCAGATCGCGACGACACAACACACTTGAAATCCTGTCATGTTTTTTTGTGTGTGCCTCGTATGTTTCCAACCAAACGCGTCAAAAAAAGAAACAAATACAGAAGACGAGAGGCACTTGGAGTTCTCCCCTGACGTGACGACCCTTCTATAGTCTGACGGTTTGCTTGTGGTTGTCCGGAAAGTTTGAAAAGACTGGAGAAAAATGCAGTTCTTATTCAACTCGATCCCGCTGTTCCTAACAGTATTTTTCAAACAGAAACGAAACCACGTCAACACCAACTGTTGTATACTCCAAGTCGAGAGGCGCACAGAAAACAGTTTTTAGTACACTAACTCCTGTCGATCCGAGTGAAACCGTAGGAGCCGTTGACGCCAACTCATCTTGGAATTTACCTCCAAGGCGATGAAACTAAGAGCGCTACAACCCTGTCAGGTCTGGCTGCGAATGGCGAATGCACACACGCTCTGAAGAAAATTTCAGTGTGATACAAGGATGATTGTGATAAATATTTCAGGCGTAGCCAATTTTTCTTTCCTCGGAAAATTAGCGCAATTATTGTCGCCAATTAGACCGTAATTGCAAGGGTGGAGTCGCTAGAGCCAAATACGGCATGTTAGCCTGGTGTACAGTCTATCGTGGTTTGGGCGGGCTCTCTTCGGGGCAGAAGGGGCTCTCCGCCGCCTGACTTAACTAGTTTTGCACGGCGCGGCCCACCCAATGAAACCCTTGTCGAGCAAAACTCATACAGGGTGCAAAAGTCCTACCGTACAGCTAGTTGAGCTGGGCGGGGGGAAACTACTGCAACCCCGAAGAGAGCCCAACCAAACCACGATACCAGGCTAACGACACACAAAAGCTTCTCGTCCCTGAGATGACTTCATTTCGTAGAAGGTTGGTACGGACGAGCCTGTCACTGAATAATTCATACGACATTTATTTCTATATCTTTATTAAAAATTTGGCCAGGTTTTGATGAGTTTTAACCTAACCCCCTAACATATGACTCGTCATTTTAGTTTTCTTGTCAACACCAAAGCAATTTTTTGTTTGTTACTTTTTTCTTGTTAAAATAATCAACAAGTAAACCGTTATAATTGCACGGTTTCTTTGTCAGACATCTATTTCAGAAGCCAGCATTTATGCGTCAAAAAATACAACTCAATAGAGAAAGAAGAAGAAGAAGTTCCCTTTTCACTCATTGTGGAGCATATGGGTGGTGCCCATGTCCATTTCTGTAGCCCTTGGGCCACACAGTAGTGCAAGTACCCCTTGGGCCACACAGTAGTGCAGGGAGCTAGCCCACTGGTAATGCTGTGTGTTTGACCTTCCCATACTCTTTCTCATGAGTGCTGAGTACTAAGCAGAGAAAACAGTATGTGTCATTATTAAGTCTTAAGTATGAACTCATCACGACCCCCCGGTTACAAAGCGAGCACTCTACCCGATTCAGCTAATGCAAGGCTATTGCCACTGATGACTGGCGCTGCCCACTGGGTGCAGTGAGCGAGTGAGTGAGTGAGTGAGTGCGTGGGTTCAATCAAGTATATTTTACCTAAGGCACCTAACATGATGGCGCAATAATGTCAACATTGTCTACAGAAACATTGCGTTTTTTATTTCCATTCTTGTAGATTTTTACAAATCCACTGTCTAGTCACACATGTATGTAGTCAACTGACAGTTCATTCATTCACTCGTTAGATAAATATCATGGTATGTATTTACAACAGACAGAACAATGTACAAAATCCTAGTAAGTTCCTTTGCGTTTATCGTTTGACGACGAACAGAATATACTTTTTTTACAATAGGCTTTTTTCTATGGCCTTTTCTATCGTTTTTGTTAATGTAAAACCAGACAAGATCATTCTATTTTCCTAAACTTAGCACACTTCAAGGTACACAAACACTGTCAATTCAAGGCAAGCAAATTTTGATAGTCAAGGGGTGGCATATTAAAAATAGCAAACAATTATACATAATCTCAAACCTCTACCTTGCCAACATTGCTGTTAAGTGTTCTATATTGTGTATATTGGTACAAATTAAAGCTCTCTGAAATTACACATTTACGTTATATATACACAGATATCCAGGTCGTTATCAATAGATATTTACAACATGCAACTTTTTTTCGCAAACAATAACAGGTTATTTCAAATTGACAACAAACGTCAACAGTAAACATTACCCTGCAAATGCTGCCCGTCACAGAAACATAGAAACATACCCGGATACAATATTCCGTAGCCGGGAATGCTATGATATGATACGGCCTAGTGATTATAGTGAAAGTGAAGGAAAAATCAGGACGGAAAGCCAACAAAGCCCCCCCCCCAATTACAAACATTTCAGACCGACAATTGAACGAATAATATGACCTACATTACATACCATGAAGCTGGGCTGAGGAATGCCAGTACAGAAAGGCAAAATTACAAAGACGACAGGAAACATAATCCTGGCCACTCGGTCAACACTTTTAGTCACAAAATTTTCAAACTATTATAAATAAAACGATAACAATATATTCTGTAGGCCAATGTAGGCCACTAATATCCATGATAGTAAAAGTGGAGGAAAAAGCCAATACAGAAAGCCACAAATACGACAGGAAACACAATCCTGGCCTCCCGGTCAATTCTTTCAGTCACAAATTTTTTAGACTATCAACAACAAAACGATAAGAATATTTTCTGTAGGCCAATGGTATGACCTAATATCCAAGAGAGTAAAATTGGAGGAAAAATCCAACACAGAAAGCCACAAAGACGACAGGAAACACAATCCTGGCCACCCGGTCAATCCTGGCCGTCACAGCCTCTATCTTCTCCAGCTTCTCTGCCTCTTCCTCCGGGTCGATGATGGAAGGGGGGAAGGCGTACGAAGTGAACTCCGCGGGAATCGGGACCGTGACCACCGGACTGTCCGGATCGCACACTCCGCGGAGCTGGTATACGGTATTGGCCCTGGGGATGGGTTTGCAGGTCTTGGCGATGTCGTCCGCCATCTCCTCGGTGCCGTACACGGACTTCCAGCCTCCTCCTGCGGCCAGCTCCCACCCGACGCGCACCAGATCTTCGCCCGGGTTACGGACTGGCTGCCGCCGTCTCCTCAGGTTCATTTCCGAGGACTCCCGGTCCAACTTCTGCAGCGGGATCGACTCAGGACGCTGGGTCTTAGATCGTCGCTCTTCCTTCTTGGCCTTCTTGTTGGACTTCTTAAGCTTGCTGGCCTTCTTCTGCCCCTTGTCCTTTGGCGCCGCCGGTTCCGGACTATCCGCCTCGTCTTTGTCCTCGGGCCGGGGGATGACGATCCACTTCTGGTCCGGCAGGCGGTGCCACATGATGTTCCCCGGGTCCTTCAGCTTCGGCCTGGGGATCTTGAACGGCCTGCTGATTCTATCGAAGGCGCTGACTCGGAGAACACCCTCGGGACAGCGGCGGCCGAACAGCTCCTCCAGGCTGCTGGCAGGGGCGGTGGAGTACCCCGGGCGGGGGATCCTGATCGGAGGGTTCTCCTGCTGCTTCCGGACCTTCTTCTCCTCCTGTGTGTAACAGACATAACGGAGCGTTTCAACTGTAAACTTTAGGGACAGAATGTCAGAATTATAGATGTGGTCGATGTATTATAATCCGTAAAACGGGTTGGTAAAACTTTAACGTTGACTGTAATAGGATGAAACTAACAGCAATATGTTATCATTTACCAAAGAAAAGGTTAGAAAACATCGTCAACATCGTCGAATATATCAAGAAGCTACCATATCAGCAATATGTTAATATGCTATTATTTACCAAAGATAACAGATAAATGGCAATGAAAAAAAAACATTGAAAACGATTAAAATATCTGTCAATATCTTTGTTATTCACATATTTTTGCAGTGTGTCTATTTCGATGTCATTCAATCCAATAGAAAGACCTTAGTTTAGTTCTGATACCTTCTTCAGGCGACGGGAGTAGATGAAATGGACCAGTCCTGTCTCCAACATCATCAGCGTGATGAGAGCCTGGCATCCTCCGAACCAGATGTCTACTGCTCTGGCTTCCGAAATCTGTAAAGAACACAGGCCTTCCTTTTAGTCCACTGCTTTACACACTTTTCAAGTCAAAATAGGGAGGAAAACTAATGTAGTTTACTTTCTGGTGTTTACTTTATATAGTTGCAGTGTAAAAACAGGAGTAGGATGGCTACCCCAAAAGGAAATATATTTGAAAGTAGCCCACGGCTGACAACTGACTAGTAGTAAGAGGCTTTTGTCAACTCCTCTGCCATATTCAAACATTTCCGATAAAGAAACAAACAAACAAACAAACAAACAAACAGAGCAACAGTATCATATCCAGAGCCGTGCCTATCTACCTACTTCTTTGCTTGGATAAGGGGTATAGGATCATATACGTTTTTGGGTAGTCTACACGTGTTCAAGAACGTAGCTTTGCCCCAGGCACGGTTCTGGATACTCGTGGACCTTCCAGAATCATGCCTGAGCATGGTTCTGGATAAAACACGGTTCTGGATACACCACAGCCCTTACCCATGGCATCCGCACACTGCTGCTCTGGTAGATCATGGCCAGGTACGTGGTGACGGCCAGGGTGAACCTGCCTGTGATGTCAGACAGGCGCAGCGGCATCCACAGCTGCAGGTAGGCCGACACAACCACCGTGACAGACGGCAGGAACACCCGCAGTACGGAGCTCATCAGCCGCCGACGCAGGTGCACCAGGACGTCTATCGTGGTGTAGCCGTTGGAATCTTTATATAGAAGGAAAACAAAGGTACGTTTTACGTCGATGAAAGTTAGACATTCAGGTTACGAGATACACATGAAATCAGCTCGTCAAGCAACTGGAGGCAACTCTGATAATCTGATTGTGTAATCTGTTTTCTTGACTGAGTGTGCAAAAGAACGTTACATGTCGGTAAACTGTTTGCGATTGCTATATCGCTGTATGTTTGGCGTAATATGCGTTTTTGATGTACGGAAGGAAACGGTTGAAAGACCACACGCTGCAAGGAAACGGCAGAAATGCAAGAGAAACTGGGCTGAACCTCGCTGGCCTTGGTGTCATCCTCCGTAGTTACCGCCGGCTCCCTACTGCCGTTCGCTAACACGGAGGTAGAGAGTGACAGTATAGGGAGTTGGCGGTTATCAAGGAGGATGACACCTAGACAAGTGCCTACCTAAGTCCATAACATCACCAGAAGTGGAGAAAAAATATGCACAGAATGATCTTCCATGCTACGTTACTCCAAGTTAACAAAGAACTCAAAGGATACGTTCGAAATAAGGTTGTCGCGTCTGGTATCCATGATATTCTACCTCAATTCACTCGTTTGATCGCTCCCCTGCAGCATCTTTCTGTGTAGAAGCGACCAGAGGAGCGAACTAGAGCCAGAATTGATAGGATAGATGCTTGGCCAGAGAAGAAGTATGGTTGAAAATATTTCTTGAATTTTAGTTGTGTTTTGTACACATACAGAAAGACTGACCTGAGTGATAGTGGCGGCAATCGTCTAACTCCGACCGGCATGTTCCCACTGTCCTCCGGCACTGTCGACATTCCTCGCTTGCGTCACAATCCTCGTAACGCCCAAACAGACACCTGTCGATGTCGTAATCACACACCTTCTTGAAGAAGATGCAATCTGTGATAAATTGATAAAATTAATACAAAATCATTCGTGGAGATACTAATATACAAGGTCAATTATGTCTGATTTGACTCATTTAGAAGATTAGAAAAATCAATTGATGAAAACAATAAGGAATCATTACTGGTGATGATAATAAGCTGTAATAATAAGTGAGGATCAGTTATAATAATGTTTGTTTTGTCTCATTTAAAGTAGAAAAATCTCAAACTTCTTTCATCTTGTAATTGATATAACTAACATATACGTCCCTTTGCCTGCCGTATCAAAACATGTATACTAGCATGTCGGGGTTTTGATACATACCAAAGTGTAGAGAATCCGTAAATAATCATATGTTACACATGCATAGGAGCATACTTTCTCATCTTTACACTACAAAGTTAAATATAGTGCAATGAAGAAGGATTTTATATAGTTTCAACCCAACAAAAGTGTCCTCATAGTTAACTCCCTCCCAATAACAATCCTGTCACCTTTAGTGTTGGACATGAAGGAGTGGAAGGCGCCCTGGATCTCCACTCCAGTCAGCTCAAACTGAGACACAACTTCCGTCGCGTCTGTCTTGATCGCGGCCAACGTGACGTCATCCAGTGGCAGAAGCCGCAGTCTAGCTCCACCGTCTGTGTTAACGATACAGCTTTGTTTGAGTTCATAGCTGCAGTGTTGCCTTGTAATCCGTATAACACAATACATATTTTACAATCAATGTATACATGTATATTACAATGCATTTCAATGAAAGTTTGGGAATTGTTACAGAAAAGAGATAAACAGATTGTACAGTTCAAAGCTTAGGCCCTGAAAAAAAGTTGCAAATCAATATCTTCTTGTACAGAATACTCAACCTGTGTATTGCTCAGAAAGAGGACTCATTAAAGAGAAATGGTGAGTTTTGTTTTAAGATTAGCCCTGTCCTACACACGATGGCCTTTGGATCTTACGGAAACAAACTTATGTAAAGATCACTTAATTATAACTTACATCCGCGCAGCTGCACAACGCAGGTCTGGGTGTCGAACGGGTAGTTCTTCAGCGATACTGAACACGTCACCTTGAACTTCCGCCTAAAAACAATAAAAGAAGCTATAACTGTAAGCAGGATAGTGTAGCGTAGTATAAGCAACATGGTGTAAGTAGCGTAGTGTAAGCAGCATGGGGTAAGTAACGTAGTGTAATCAGCATGGGGTAAGTAGCGTATAGTGTAAGCAGCATGGGGTAAGTAGCGTAGTGTAATCAGCATGGGGTAAGTAGCGTATCGTGTAAGCAACATGGGGTAAGTAGCGTAGTGTAAGCAGCATGGTGTAAGTAGCGCAGTGTAAGCAGCATGGTGTAAGTAGCGTCGTGTAAGCAACATGGGGTAAGTAGCGTAGTGTAAGCAGCATGGTGTAAGTAGCGCAGTGTAAGCAGCATGGGGTGAGTAGCGTAGTGTAAGCAGCATGGGGTAAATAGGGTAGTGTAAGCAGCATGGGGTGAGTAGCGTAGTGTAAGCAGCATGGGGTGAGTAGCGTAGTGTAAGCAGCATGGGGTAAGTAGCCTAGTGTAAGCAGCATGGGGTAAGTAGCGTAGTGTAAGCAGCATGGTGTAAGTAGCCTAGTGTAAGCAACATGGGGTAAGTAGGGTAGTGTAAGCAACATGGTGTAAGTGGCATAGTGTAAGCAGTATGGGGTGAGTAGCATACTATGTGTGCAAGCACCACAGTGTAATTAGACACCATGATACTGATAATTCCATCTTACGACAAAAGGAACTTACGAGGACATGCTAAACTATCTTGTTGTTAGCTACCTACGTAGCTCCTCAACTTACGTCATTTTGTACACGACCAGTCCTTCCTCGTTCAGCCACCTCGATGACGCCTCGCCGTCCACGGCAGCGGCCTGACGTACCGTGGTGCCAAACGCCAGCGGCGGCGGCGAGACCAGGCTGTCAGGGGCCGGGACCCAGCCGTCGGTCAGTCCGCTCAGCGTCGAGTTGAACCAGGAGAACACGTACTCAATCGTCACGGACATGTTCTGGGATGGCGAGAAACAACAGGCATAAGTCACGACCATACTACCGGAAAATGTTTGAGAAGGAATATAATACAAATTACGTACGTTAGTGTCGTTAGTTGCACGAGGCCCTGAAGGAAGGTCTATAACATTTGGTTGTTTAGAATGATATAGGTAATCTACATATAATATCGTTAGTTACAATGTCATAAGAAGATAAAGAGCAAATCCAACACCAAGGGTGTCTGGAATGATAGAAGTGACCTAGCATCGAATCAGTTACAATGTCATGACACGAAGGTTATCTAAGGTAAGGGTTAAACTAGCCATAATCAACTGCGCTAAAGCATAAATGTTGCCTACAAGTATACATATCACAGCATATTGAAATGTAGTGTCAAAGCAATGGCAAATACCGCATGTTTGTCAGAAAGCTGACCGACATGACGAAGATAGGCTGATAAAGCGATGTCAAATCCACCACCTAGTATCAAAAAGAGAATACAAACTTGTGAGAAAAGATATACGGGTAAATAAACAATTAAAGAAGCTTGTTGTAAATTACAAATGTATTTACTATTGGTTTGCCTCATGTACATACAGGTTGCAAGGTGGCAAAATTTTAGTATGAAGCTATGAATTGGGGGCAACCTTCGGATGAATGAAAAAATGGTTACAAGAATTGCTAAGTCAATGTACATCCTCAGCTACATATAATCTCAAATTACACAATTTATTGTAACAGTTGTTGAATTAACCTACAATTGTAGTAATGCTTTTAACCGGGTAATTAAACGATTATATTACATGGCAATTATTCATGACTTAGCTGATGACTTAGTTGTGGTACTACTAGTAGTAGAAGTAGTAGTTACGTATTTACTGTAGTAGTGGTAGTAGTAGCAGTAGCAATAGAAGTGGTAGTAGAAGTACTAGTAGTAGTAGTAGTAGTAGTAGTAGTAGTAGTAGTAGTAGTAGCACTAGTGGTAGTAGTAGTGGTAGTAGTAGTAGTAGTAGTAGTAGTAGTAGTAGGAGTAGGAGTAGTAGTACTACTACTACTGCTACTACTACTTCTACTACTAGTAGAAGTAGTAGTAGTAGTAGTACTAGTACTAGTATTAGTTACTGTAGTAGTAGTAATTTCCTTAGTTAACCTAGCACTAGTACTGGACATATGTAAAACATACCTTCCGCTTCCGTTAAGAAGGTGCTCCTATCATATTCCGGCAGAAATGACTCGGCTGTCTGTAGCCTCTTCGCCTCCAGCCACGTGTGTGTGCCGTTTGGGTCATCTGTCGGGTTCAGCAACCCCTGAAACACAATTTACATGTCGATGTTAAACGAGGACTTTTGTACCAGTATAGATGCACAACAATAAATACAACGTTGTAACGTAAATAACATAACGCTGTAACAAGTCGAAGGTTATTACAAAGTGTTGTATAAGTTTAGATGCTCATCACATTAGTACAATCTGCACGTCGATTCTAAGCTGTACACATTTCACAGAAGACACAAAGTTGTATATCTACAATACAGCTATATATATCTTAATACTATGAAGTATTTTTTCACTATTTTCTATAGCATGGAGGCACATATGTGTTGGCCTTACTATGCCTTATGTAGACAGAAATTTTGTAAGGTCTTCTAAAACTGTAGATACTCAAAGCTATTTCAATATGTTAACATAGAAACATAGGCATAATATTTGCGATTTGTATACCCTTTACATTAAAATTTAGTCTTCTTAGAGTACGTATATTTTAATTCTTCGATAAAATGAAATATATCAACTTCTTTGAGCAGATGGAAAGAAAATATAACATGAATATATGTATATAGATATTTTAAGTGATGATCATAATAATTTCAAACCATACTAACATCGACATATTGGAAGTCCATTGGTCCTGTAGAAAGATTAAAAAAAGCCCCACCTCAGAAAATGTCATTATGATAGCTCACTTCAGTTGACTGGAGA